TCTCTCTCTCTCTCTCTCTCTCTCTCTCTCTCTCTCTCTCTCTCTCTCTCTCTCTCTCTCTCTCTCTCTCTCTCTCTCTCTCTCTCTCTCTCTCTCTCTCTCTCTCTCTCTCTCTCTCTCTCTCTCTCTCTCTCTCTCTCTCTCTCTCTCTCTCTCTCTCTCTCTCTCTCTCTCTCTCTCTCTCTCTCTCTCTCTCTCTCTCTCTCTCTCTCTCTCTCTCTCTCTCTCTCTCTCTCTCTCTCTCTCTCTCTCTCTCTCTCTCTCTCTCTCTCTCTCTCTCTCTCTCTCTCTCTCTCTCTCTCTCTCTCTCACACACACACACACACACACACACACACACAAAAATCTAACTATTATCTCTCTAAAATTGTAGCATCATATATTTCTCTAAATCAATTACACCAACAATCATTAAAAAGCTTCAACTATCGACAAATCCATCGACATTATCTCTGAAATTGCGGGTAGAAGGGTCTGCCATTGACATAGCATTAAAAAGCTTCGAAACTTTGAATTAGATATTCGAATTTTACGAGTTTGTGATTTCTTTGTATTGGGTGTTATTGAAAATGATTAAAAATATCCTTTAGAGTTTATATCTCAATTTCAAGAGAGATTGGTTAAGTTTAAAAGTTGATTTTAGGTTGAATTTCATAATGAAACTCGAGGAAGATGAAGTTTCAGAATTGTATTACGATTGTATGATAAGTGTATCATAATTGTATCTAAGTTGTATTTGATACATCTATACCTAAGACAATTCTGATACAATGCTAATACTATTAAAATATAATATTGTATTATAATTTAAGTTTAGAGTTGGTTCTATGTGGATGTTTTAAATTGAAACTTGAAAAAGATGAAGATCAAAGTTGTATCATAATTTAGAATTGTATCACAATTTGTACCTAAAATAATACACGATACAATACTAATACAAGTATAATATGATATTGTATCAGTTTAAGTTTTGAGTCGGTTTTAAGTTGTATCAGAATTGTGTATGAATTCTTTCAGGATTGTATCAAATTTGTATCTGAATTATGAGAAGTTGTAAGATCGTGACGAATTTCACAGTTTGTATTACAAATATATGTTACTTATATATTAATTTATTAGTATTGTATCAGGTATTATTTTGGATATTAATGTACCATCTACAAGTTATATACAATTGTGATACAAGTGTGATACAACTATGTTTTTACGTATTGATGTATTTGTTACAATTTAAATACAATTATGATATATTTATTTACAATTCCTGAATATTTCTTCATTTTCAGTGTTGTCCGATCTCCCAGCAAAAGAACGATGCGATTGATGATTAATGATATAAAATTATCGACAATGGTGGAAAGAGAGAAGATGGAGATTCTGGACATAGATTAAGGAATTTTGTTGTAAAAAAAAGGAAATATAAGAGGAGATAGGAAAAAAAAGGAAAGGATATAATTGAATCCCTTAATTGAAGGCACTAATAATGGGGTGGGAGTCTTTTAATGAGCAATCTACACAATTTGTAAGAAACACCTAGATAATTATTAAAAACTACAAAACATAGAGAATATTGGTAAATAAGTTTCTAATATAGTATAACTAGGTAAAAGTCCCTAATTACTTGTTGGATTGTAATAGTTTTCATAATTTCAAGGCCCAATAAAAAATGTAATGCTTTATTAGTTTTAAACTTACTCTAGAAATATATTTTCCACATGTAAAATCTATTCGGTACGGTTCGGTATTTTTTGGTTTATTTTTATAAAATAAAAAACCTACCCTAATTATCTGTACGGTTATAGATTTATATAAAAAACCTACGATTCGTTTAAAAGAAACCTACAAATCAGTTCGGTGCGGTACGGTTCGGTTAGTTTAGTCGGTTTTCAAATATCCATTTACACCCCTACTTCTACGTTCTATCCACTTAGAAACAAAATTGTTCTATTTTTGTCGATGTTTAATATTATATTTCATGGATAAAAAGCACATACTTTAAAGACTATTTAGATCATTTTTCTCTTTCTCTTATTTGTGTCTATTTTTTATATTTAACTTATATTACTATTTTTTAAAAATTTATTCTTTTTTAAATTTCTCCACCTTTCTTAATTCTGGTAAAATTAGAAAGTAGGGAAAGAAAAATAAAAAGAGGTTCTTGAAGTTCTTGTACTTCAAGGCTCTTTCTTGTTCTTTTTGTAATTTTTTATGACTTTTTTTGACTTATGTAGGACCTTTATTTATAGTTATAGTAGGGAGGAGATGCGATGGCCGATGAGGATGCACTTATTTTCATTTATTTAATTGGTTCCCTTGAGTGATCGACCAATCAAATTTCACTAGCGACAACTTAAATCACATTTAATTGGCCGTAACATGTCATTGTATACTTGGCATTTTTTTTTAACATTTTAATTTGACTTGACATGTTACATCATTTAATTATGTTACAAGTTGTGATTGGCTCCCTTATTTGACTTAGCATGCTAGGATAGACAAATTTCACATTGAAAAGGAAAAGAAGAAAAGTTATATAAGACAAAATACAATTTTACTTGGTACATGCATTATTTAGGCTCAATGATGATATAGGTTAAGAAACAAACTCATAGAGTCTATTAAACTAAATCAGGCATTATAAAGCACTTCGGTAAATTTTCCCTTATCGTTTTCTAGTGCTAGTTGGTTGCACTTTCACGAGCTCTATGCAATGCAAATCTTTATTTGTTGGTTCAATAAATTTCGAATATCAAATAGTTAGTTTTAAAAAATGATATTCTGCTTTTTATGACACGGTTAATTTTCCATCTATTAATTACAGTCAACCACTCACAAGGGGGTATGCTTAATTGTAGAATTTAACCTTCACAATTTTTTTTTTTAAATCATCAAAAAATTCTGGCTTTTAAAGACCACTACTACTGCTCCATAGACACCCTCACTACAACACGGTTCAAGTGCCTCAAGTTCATGTAGTACTTTACTTATATGGACACTTTAATCTCTCCTAACGTTATATAGGATTACAACTGAGTTTACAATTTATTTTAGTATGTTTCTTTTAATTCATTCTAGTAAAAGACAAAAATGTAAACATAAATTAGATGGCAACCAGACTAAGCTTCGCACACTGTTTTGGATCAGAAAAATCAAATAACAACAACATATCCAGTATTATCCTACACCTTAGGGTCTGGGGAGGGTAGTGTGTACGCAAACCTGCCTTGTGAGGATAGACAGGCTGTTTCCAATAGACAGGAAAGCATAAGCAGATCAGAAAAATCAAACAAGAGTACAAATTACAACTCTGTGAAATCCTCCAGGTATGCTATCACAACGTTAGGACCATAGAACAACTGGATTGGAAACAATCACTCTGCAAGCTAAATCATTAAAAATCACTTAACAATATACATTAATGATGGAAATAAGAAACTTGCTTTCCCATTGTCATAAATTTATATCTCTGAAAGATATAACAGGGCACGAACATGGCTCATCCCATTTAGACAATGCAGCATCTAAACTGTGTCATTATCTTACAGTCGAGAGTCGAGAGAAACGAGAAACTACAGTGGCGATACATTAAGTCATGATCTTTAGTTTAGAGAGAGGAGCAGAACTCACGTCCGGCCCAACCTCACCAAATGCTGCTGGTGCTTTTCAGCAGCCGCCTTATCAGCAGCTTCGCGCTTGAGTGCCCTCTTTGCACGCCGGCCTACAGCTTCTTTAGGAGCAGCATCAGCCTCTTTCTTCTTAGTCCTGCGTGACGAGCCAGCACCTACGTACTGGGAATTTGCTCGAGGAACAGGCATTGCTTCTTGCCTTCCTGCCCTGACATATCCATTGTCTCCCCATCTCCGGTTGCTTATTCGGAGATGGGATGAACTAGTAAAATAGAAGTTTTCTAGTTCTTCATCTTCATCCTCATATGCATAAAGATAATCCATGCTATCATCAACTTCTTTTTTTTCCTCCACAATCAGGGGCTTGAACCATGATGCTCTGAGGAGAAGGCACACACTCTCCTCAAACATGTAATCCTGAATGCTGTCGGAAAAAAGTTTCATTTCTTAGGTTAAGAATCACCTACCACAACTATGGGACATCCAAAACAAAACTAGAAATAAAAAAATCCTGCGAACGTGACAAGCGATTAAACCATCTCAGAGATAAACAATCAAATAAGAATGTATATAGACTAACACACTAGCATATTAATTGCATTATCATGTATCATAAATATTTAGATAAGGACTTTAGCCAAAACTAATCAGTTACCTTCCATCAAGTGAGCGATGGACGTGGAGAAACTCAAATGGATGTTTACACTGAGGGCATGTTGGTTCCTTTTTGTAGGTTGCCCACCGAAGGATGCATGTCACACTGAACACCACAGTAAGGAGATAAATATTAATGTCGAGACATTTCCACTATTACAAGAATGGACTTGCTCTGAGAAAAGAAAGGACCAAAATTAGAGACAAATTCACACCCTATAAGATCATTATTATTTCATAAAAATACAGATTGGATCATAAGTCATAACAAGATAAGAAGACACTAATGAAGTTCGTCACATTCACACTAAAATGCAACTGCTTTATTCCTTTGTTCTTTTATCAAGTAAGCTTGTAAAACATAACAGTACGATTATAGAGACTCGAATAGAGAACCGGCCAATTTGATGTACAAAATTCAACCATACGTTATGGCTTAGACCAAATCCACCAACATCAACAAAAGGATTGTTAATATGAACTAGTGAAACAGTTTTTTTTTTTTTTTTTTGGTGATTTAGAGTAAGAGAGCTTTCTGCTGACTCCAAAGAAGTTAGAGATAAGTGCCACAAAATCATTACTCTTGCACCCCCACCGCCAAAATAAATATATATATTTTGGATGAATGGGAATGGAAAATATTTCCTCATTTTCCTTCCTTTCCTCACCAATATAAAAAGGCAAAGGGTTTCAAAGCATAAGCTGACAAAAAACACACACAAATTTCTTCAAATATTCCCCCTCTAGCTGATTGAGAGGTGCTCCAGGCAGTGGCGGAGCCACATAGTTCCAAGGGTGTCAACTGATACCCCTTCATCGGAAAATTACACTATTTAGACAGCTGATTTTTTTTTTTAATGTATACATTAACTGAGACCCCTGGAATGTAACTTTCTTCCTTTCAAAGTTACTTTACCATCCATTAACTGCCGTTTTGATAACCATAATAACAAGAAACAACAATTTCATCTTTCTAGATAGTTAGGTGAAATGTGAATGTAAGAATAATTGAATTAGGATCCTATCAAAGTCAAGCAGGTCAAATTGCAGTAGACTTAACAAAAAAGTGTAGAACAATTAGCTATGGACAAACTTTATGTGACCAATTTATTTAAAACAGTAAATTGAATAGGATCCTATCAGGAGCATCTGGTGATCAAAATGGCAGTAAATAGATGGAAGAGATCGGTTGTATATACAAACCAGTAGGCATGCTCGCAACCTTTAACAAGAGCAGTTTCTTGAAGCACTATCTTATTCAAACAGATAGCACACACACCGTGATGGTTACTCTCGCAATCAACTTCGTGCTTTTCCTCAGATATGCTCTTCATGTTAGTCTGAAAATCAAAACCCATATCAATCAGGTTACATGTATCGTGTATTTGAACAACACAGCTGTAAGCCATACGATAAAAAGAACGAATATAATTCCAGGCCACTGCAACTCCACAATACAGAAACTAACACAATGTTATAATGTGGTACCATGAGGTTCAGGCTATGTTTGTAACCATTGTAGGAGCCAAGCCTTCTAATTCAATTCAACTTTTACTAATAAGTTTTTAATTTGACATTCTAGTCCGCCTTTTTTCCTTTCAGATAGGTTCTCATTGTCCAAATGGGGTTTCTTTCCTGCTTCAGAATAGCATGCTCCTATGCATCCCGCTTTCATAAATAAAATCCACATGTATCATTTCGAAGTAGTGGCTGGAATTAATAAGCCTTGTCTCGAACATTCTATCCTCAATTCTAGTTTTGAATTTCAAATTTTCTTTTGCTTCTTCTTCATTTGGTTTTTATCTTCCTGACATTTCTAAATCTTCCTTTGTAGCCCCTCGCTACATAAAACTATACCAGAATTAATAGAATTTATTCTATATGTAGAAACAGGTAGAACGATTTAATCACATTAACTGACTTCAGGCAATTGTTTCCACCAAATCCTTAGCTCCCATTACTAAGACTAACCAATAAATCATTTTTTAATAACCGTTGTTTCTGAGCTAGCTTACACGCACCTCGACTAATTCCATGAGATACTTGCTTTCCAGGGTATACCTGCTACCTCCCACCAAGGCTTAGACATACCTGCTACCTCCCACCAAGGCTTAGACCTATGAAAAGAAATCACCTAGTGTTTTTTATCTCCGATGGGATTTGAACCTAAGACCTCATGGTTCTCAACCCACTTCATTGACCACTAAGCCACACCCTTGGGTGCAAGCAATAAATCTATTTTATGGGTGCCAAAAGAAAGTTACATCAAGAATATCTATTTACCCCTAGATCCAAGTAATTCCAACCGACTAAAAAATAAAGCATGAACTATTTTCAAAATTTAGCAAAAGTTCTCAACAGTGATTTTGAGAAGGACCATATTGCTATGAATAATAACACATAATGGTAAAATTCTATTAATCAAATATCCAGCTTATTCAACAAGGGCGGACCTAGCATACATGTTATGGTTTTCATCCAGTGTTATATTTTACTAATGAGTTTTCAATTTAACATTTTAGTCCGCTTTTTCCCTTTCAGATAGGTTCTCATTGTCCAAATGGGCCTGCTTCAGAATAGCACGCCTCTAAGCATCCCGCTATCATAAATAAATCCACTTGTATCATTTCGAAGTAGCGACTGGAATTAATAAGCCAAGTCTCGAACATTCTATACTCAATTTTAGTTTTGAATTTCAAATTTTCTTTTGCTTCTTCATCATTTGGTTTTTATCTTCTTCACATTTTTAAATCTTCCTTGTAGCCCTCTCGCTACATAAAACTAAACCAGAAGTAATAGAATTTATTCTATATGTAGAAACTGGTTGAAAGATTTAATCACATTAACAGGCTTCAAGCAATTATATCCACCAAATCCTTAGCTCACATTACTAGGACTAACCAATAAATCCTTTTTTTAATAATCGTGATTTCCGGGCCAGCTTACACGCACCTCGACTAATTCCATCAGATACCTCCCACCGAGGCTTAGACATATGAAAAGAAATCGCCTAGTATTTTTGTCTCCGATGTGATTTGAACTTCAGACCTCATGGTTCTCATCCCACTTCATTGACCACTAAGTCACACCCTTGAGTGCAAGCAATAAACTATTTTATGGGCGCCAAAAGAAAGTTACATCAAGAATATCTATTTACCCCTAGAACCAAGTAATTCCAACTAACTAAAAATTAAAGCATGAACTTTTTTCAAAATTTAGCAAAACTCCTCAACAATGATTCAGAGACCTTCACCAAGTAGAGGTAGGGGTAAGGTCCATGTATACGCTACCTTCCTAGACCACACTTGTGCATTATTATACTTAGTTTGTTATCATTGTTCTTCAACAATGATTTGGAGAAGGACCATATTTCCATGAGTAACACTCCTTATCAACAGATAATGGTAAAATTCTATTAATCAAATATCCAGCTTATTCAACAAGGGCGGACCTAGCATACATGTTATTGGTTTCATCCAGTAACTTTGACTCACAGGAGCGCATCCAACATTATGTTAGCAGGTTCAAATGAACCTAGTACTTTCCACACGGAATATCTACCAAAATTACAACAAATAATAGATACAAACTCATAATTTTAAAAATATAACTGGTGTAATGCTAAGAACCTTAAATATTGAACTCGTGCCTCTATTGGCCCTGATCCTCTATGTGTTAAAAATTTCACTAAACAAGTACAAATAATACATCTCGAACCCAATAAATCAAATGGGTCGTGATAGAATTTCGAATTCAGCAACACATAAAGTTCTATGTTATTCAGCAACACACTTTAGGAACCCAGTACTTCAAAATCATTGTACTCGCATAATATTTTCAATTGAAATATATTTTGGAACATAAATTTATAATCAAATAAGACCATGTAAAGTTAAAAAAACGTAAAAATGTAAATTTAAAAAAAAAAAAAAGATAAACAAAGGAACATAGTAAAAACCCCATTATTACCTGGTCTTGAATAGATAGATCTAAGATGTCGTTCACGAGTTGCTGATCCTCAAACTCCACAACTGCAGCCATCGCCTAATAAAGATAGCAAAAAAAAAAAAAAAGTAAAAAAGGAGAAATATATGTACTCTACTATTGCTAGTTTCAGCTAATATACTTTAATTTCCTGTAAATATATTCTGGAGAATTATGCTGATTCCAGCGAGAGGCCTCAAACGAACCGGGGAACGAAGCCGATGCAGAATACGTACAAGAATCTTATTATAGATGCCCCCCCGCCTACCCCGCCTTACCTTGCCGCCTTAAGATATAAATTAATAGGAAAACAAAAATAAAAATAGAACAAAATAAGAAATCTATTCTTTTTCTCTTCTATTTTTGGGTTTTTTGTTTTTGAAAAAACAAGCAATCTGTTCACTTTTGGTTTGATGCAAGGGTATTATAACACGTGGCTAAAGTTCAGCATTAATACTCACAAATCATGACTCGACCACTTGGACCGACCTTAGGCTAGCATCCCTTCAAAGTGCAATAGAAATCACCAGTCTAGGCCATGGGCCTTCTTGATCGCCCATTGACCCCGTCCAGGTAAGTATAGCATTAATACTCCAAATAGATAGTTGGTTGTCTTTTTTCTTGCTCGTCGTAAATAATAATTGTACAAATTATACAAGAATTTATATATTTATTTATAAGATATAGAACACAGAAGAAATTAGGGAATCTTGCAGTAATATATCAAAAAAGATAGTAATATTTATCAACAACTAGCAATTTTAGTTATGCTATCAAAAATAACCTACAAAAATTATCAATGATATTCAACATTCAAAAAATATAGGCGAAACAAGATTTTCTTTCTAATGGATATTATTATGATTCATTGAAAACACACAGATAAGGTAATATACAAATTTTGGCGAAGTTTGAAGGCAATTCATTACCAATGATATAAAATATTAAAAACAATTACGCAAAGAATAATTTTTTCATTGGGTATGGTTGGAATTCGTTGAAAACATATATATAAGGCAATATACAAAAATTGAGCAAGATTGAAGGGGATTTGAACCGATTTGATATCAAAATTCGTATTTAAAATTGAGTTTAATTTTTGTTTATGCGACATATGTGTCAAACATGTATCACGCATGTATCTCACACACATGTATACATGGATATACATATGATACACATAATATATATATATATATATATATATATATATATATTATACACAAATAATACATAGTGTGTAACACGTATCATCTTTTTCCATATTCATTTTCTACTTCGAATTTTCAATTAAAAAGTCTATCAAATCATTCCAAAATTGAGATTCAACTCCTTAAGATATACGCAATCTATTCCAACAATACACACTCAAAAGAAAGCAAAAATTTAACATTTTTTTTTAGCTACAAATAACTAATTGGCTAATATTGTTAGTATTTGCTAATATTTTATAAATTGGCCAATTTTTGTACTAATTTGCTTACGGAAAATATAACTAATAATTTTTCGATAGTAGGCTTATTCAGATTCAATATTTACATCAAATTAATTATTATGCATAATAATATTTTTGCTCATATATTTTCATCACTTAACTATAGTTAAAATATATGGAAAAGGTCAATATATGTCTTTCTACTAGTTAAAATAAATCATATGTGTCCCCCGTTATACTATTTAATTAAAAGAGTCCCTATCGTTTGTGCCCGAAAATTAAAATGCCCTTCTACCGTCTACTCCTAATTTTAAAATAAAAATATCCACGTGTCAACCTTTTACTAAATGAACTAAACCCACCCCTTATTTTTTAACTGACCCACCGACCGGCTAATTTTATCCGACCCATCCGATCTTTTAATTAAAAAAGAGCCCCAACACATCGATTCTCTCATTCCCTTCCTTTAACCAACAAGACCAATTAAGGTTCTTAAGAGACACTACTTACTGTTAGTCGATGTTGCCGATTCAAGAATCATTTTTCTGAAAAGGTATGTTTAATCCGCTTAATTTGGCTTGTTTATCTCCCTTCTATGTGTATCTGTCTTAGTTTATTATTAGGGTTTTACGTTCAATCATTTTGGGGCTTTAATATATTTTGTATTCTTATATCTTAGTTTAAGATACTATTATCTGACATTTTTGTCTTATTTTCTTGTGTGGAATTGTCACGGCCCAAAAATCCCTCCGAAGGAGTCGTGATGGCACCTAGTCTCTAAACTAGGTAAGCCTAACATAAACGGAAATAACATTGATGCCTTCTAACTTTAAATTAACCAACTCTGAATAATTCCAAAATTTTCCAAAACCGGTGGTACAAGTCACAAGCCCATCTAAGAGTAATTACACAAAATAATACATCTCTGCCCCGAAACAAAAGAGCAAATGGAAATAATTACAAATGAAGGTGACTCCGAGACCTGCGAACGCAACAGCAGGTTACCGTGAGTCCCCACTGCGACGACCCGCACAGCTACTATCGATCGATACCTGGATCTGTACACAAAAAAATGTACAGAAGTGTAGTATGAGCACACCACGGCGATGCCCAGGAAATATCAAGACTAACCTCGGTGGGGTAGTGACGAGGAACAGTCAGGACACCTACTGGTCAAATAAAATTAACAGGATATGATAATAAACATCAAGATAAAGATAACGAGGTAATATCAACTGCGGGAAAAAATCCAAGTACAAACAGTATAAACAATAAAGGGAGAAAACGGATAGTAACGAACGGAGATCACGTAGTTCAGATAATCCAAACAATTCAACACTGATATAACAGAGACAGAGACAAGTAAGAATGCATCCAACTAAAAAAAACAATGTCAACTCAATCAGTCACACCATGTTTAATACACCATCCCGACCATTTCAAACCTCGATTTCTCATATAATAATCTCAACATTCGAACTTTCAACACGTATGGCACCTCGTGCCCACATATTTTTCCATCTCACGCTTGACATCAAAATCCCCAAGATGTGCAATACCGAATGTCCTTACAAATGCACTTAAGATGTTCAAGAAGTCCTATTTACATATTAGAAATTAAATCTGAATCTCAAAATAAGTTTGGAAAATAGGCGAGAAAAGATGAAGTTATTTTTAGAAATCACTTGAGTAAGAAAATACCCCTTTAAATTTAAAATACAACATCGGAAGAATTATTACCTTTAACAGGGGAGTTAATAACTTAAAACTTAGTAGAAATTTCTTTTTAAGTAAAATACAACCTT